AGGGACGGGGGTCCCAGGGATCCCGGCGCTGACCTGGCCATGCCACAGGTGTTCGTGGAGCTGAACGAGCTGGTGGTGGACAAGAACCAGGAGCTGCAGTGGAAGGAGACGGCGCGCTGGATCAAGTTTGAGGAGGATGTGGAGGAGGAGACCGACCGCTGGGGCAAACCCCACGTGGCCTCCCTCTCCTTCCGCAGCCTCCTGGAGCTCCGCAAGACCCTGGCCCACGGTAGGGAGCTGGGGTCACCCCGTGGCGCCCGCGGTGAGGGGGGTCCCGTTCCCGCTGGCCTCAGCCCCCTGTCCCTTGCCAGGGGCTGTGCTCCTGGATCTGGACCAGAAGACACTGCCAGGGGTGGCTCACCAGGTGGTGGAGCAGATGGTCATCACAGACCAGATCCGGACCGAGGACCGCGCCAATGTGCTGCGGGCGCTGCTGCTCAAGCACAGGTGGGCACAGGGAGCGTGAACGCAGCCCCCTCCCCTGGGCTCTGCTCCCCAGGCCACAGGGCCGGCGCTGTCCCCAGGATCCTGGTGATGGCTGTACTGTCAGCCACGGACAGACCTGGCTCTGTCCTGCAGCCACCCAAGCGATGAGAAGGAATTCTCCTTCCCGCGGAACATCTCGGCGGGCAGCCTGGGCTCCCTGCTCGTGCACCACCACAGCACCAACCACGTGGCTGAGGGCGCCGAGCCGGCTGTCACCGAGCCCCTCATCGCTGGCCACGCTGCCGAGCACGACACACGTGTGGACGTGGAGCGGGAGGTGGGTGCCACGGCCCCCAGCCCTGCCCGTGCCCTCGGGAGGGGCCTGACCCCAGCCCCCGCTCTGTCCCTGCAGAGGGAGGTCCTCACCCCCACGCCCCCAGCCGGCATCACTCGCTCCAAGTCCAAGCATGAGCTGAAGCTGCTGGAGAAGATCCCGGACAATGCCGAGGCCACGGTGGTGCTTGTGGGTACGGAGGGGTGGGCAGGGCAGGGGGGTGGGGACAGTGTGTTGGGCCCTTGACTGACCTCTGTGCCCCCCAGGCTGTGTGGAGTTCCTGGACCAGCCCACCATGGCCTTTGTGCGGCTGCAGGAG